AAGGCATGGCTGCAGCCATTACACCTGGGGCCTGGGATTCCTTCACAAGACTTGATACAGGGCCGGAACCAACCCCTGTCCCAGCTTCCCACTTGCTTCTCCCTTTTAGGGATGGGGCCTCTGATCTAGGCCGAGCCCCTGTCCTCCTCCGATGATCATACCATGTGCCTTTCTCCCAAGCAGTGAGTAGTAAACTTACTCATCACCCAGGTCCTGGCAGAAATGGACCAGTCTTTGAGGTGTGTCTGTGTGTAGGACAAGTCAGCAGGAGCCTTTCTCTGTTCCCTCCCTTTCTCAGGGATTCCTGAGTATTGCTGGCTGTGAGAGAGCCAAACCACCAGGTTCTTCCTCACCTTCCTTGGGAGGTGATCCTCAGCACTGTTCTGACCCCAGACCTGTTACTAGCCGGCTCATTGCATAGCGAGTGTGTATGTCCACTTCCCTCCTTGTGTGCTCTATAGTGCACTGTGGGGCTCAGGGATGCTTGCTGCTCGCATGTGTCAGAAAGAGGCTGAGCTCCTGAGCACTTCCAGTGGTTAGAGCTATGCAAGACTCATCTCTGGGTCTACAGTGCATCATGCTAGAGAGGTCCAGGGACCACCCAGCGGGCACCACTGGCTTGCCAGTGCCTAAAATGGAGAAACAGGTCCCCCATAGTCTCAGAGGACCCAGGAACTGATCCGCTCCCTTCCTTTGTGACAGTGCTGGTATGGGTGATGGTGTTTTTCAGAGGGACCTGCTGTAGCTACTTTATGATTAGGAACTTTAGTGTGACTTCAGGCTGTCGTTGTGTGTGTCTTTGTGTGTGCATGCCATGCCTAGCCAGTGTCGGGGGGTGGGTGGGGTGTCTAGTATCATGTGGCTTAGTAGGTGCCACAGTAGCTTCTGCAAACACCGTACTGTCTTGTTTCTGTATTAGACGTAGGTAGTACTGTGAATATACTGCCATGTCACTTTTAATATCCCCAGTTTTATACTCGGAAATGGTACTTGCCTCTTTGAAAACTGTCTTGTCTTCTCTAACCTTCCCATCATCTCCATACCCTTTCCTGACTGCAGCAATAACTCTTAAACAGTTTAATAATTAAATATCCCAAACTGTTAATCATTGGATGGTTGCGTTCATTTTATACAGACTACAATACAGCAGTTGCTGAACGGGAAAGCAGTCCCCTATTTTGTCCCCCACACCCCAGCCTTGGAGGTAAAGTTGTGACATACCGGCAGCCGTGTCCATCGTGTCTGAGTCTTCAGCAGGGAGTTCAGTTGCCTCAGGAACTGGTTATGTCTGTCCAGAGAGGTCTGTAGTCTTGGCCTTTAATTCCCGGGTGCCATGGCCCTGACCTCTTTTTCCATCCACTTATACCAGAACATACTGATGGATTAGCCATCTGGGTGGTCCCCCACCAGCTGGACAACGTGGCTCTGTCTGGCGAGTCGAAAGCCCATCATTTGGTTTTGGGGGCCTATAACATTCCTGGATAATGGCACTGGGTGGTCTTGATGGTGAGCTGTGCAGACAGATCGCTCATTTCTCAACATCACCGGCTGCCTCTTCTGGCCCTGGGGAGGACCAGCTTACCTAGATTGACTAGACTGCAAGCCAGGGGTCATAGGTGAGGATTACAGTGGGGTGGGCTTCTCCACCTGCATTGGGTGGAGATGAGATTGGGCTTTGCTCCCATTCTTACCATCTTGTCACTTGGGCATTTTCTACTCTTGTGAATTGCTAGCTAGGGACCGACCTGTGTAAACTGTCCTTAACTGCTCCAGTAGCAGATAGCCCGTTAATATACCACCTTGCTCTCCCTGTAGAGTAAACAGCAGGCAAGCCCTTTGCTAAGACTGAGAATTGCAGAAGCCGTCGGAACTGGAGGTCTATCTGCTGTTGGACTCTGATGTGTGCCAGTGAATCGGGAAGTGTATTGGGAATGACTAGTATACACAGAAGGGGACTGGGTAAGGAGTTGGTTCCAGTGATAATGGAAGCCCAGTTGGCTAGCTAGAGGAGCAGTTCCAGTTTAGAGCAGATTCAAGATCCATGAAGTCAGGAAAGTACTGATAATCCCTGCTCAAATAGGAGTCCAGAGTTCTATGTAAAGCATAGGCAGCCTTTTTGCTCTAGATGAGCCTTCAACTGATTGAACGAACCTTACCTATATTAGAGCAGTCTGCTTTACTAAGGACCAGTTCAAAGCTTAATGACCTCATCCAGACCCCCCTCTGCCCAACACAGCCAGAATCCTATTTGGTCAAATGTCTGGTACCTCAGGGCATATCTAGGTTCATTCATAGAAAATTAGCCATGATAGCACAAGGAAGAAAATAATGGTTGCAAACTGTATTTCTAGATCTAGGTTCACATGCTGTATGCACACATTGCCCTATTCCTGAACCGTCAGCAGTTCTGGTCTCTGGGGGTATAACTGGCATCCTTCCTTGTCAGCATTAGTCCCTTCTGTGTCCCCTTAGCTCATGCCTCATCTTGTAACAGTTCATGGTTTTTCTGTCTGATTATCCCTCATGATAATGCGCCTGCAGGTAAAGTACTCTGCTCCCTCCTTTGCCTCACTACCTTGACTCTACCTGGCTGCCCAACAAAGTAATGTGTTTCTGTTCAGTTGCATTTTAGCTGGTGACAAGCTTGTGACCTTAGTGGGATCACTCCTGTTGGGGGGCCGAGCATGTGCAAAGCCCTGGGTTTGATTCCCAGAGTCACAAAATCCAGAACAGATCCCTCGAAACTAAGCATGATTATGCCCGGGTGGTGGCGGCGCACACCTTTAATCCCAGCACTCAGGAGGCAGAGGCAGGTGGATCTCTGAGTTTGAGGCCAGCCTGGTCTACAGAGTGAGTTCCAGGACAGCCAAGGCTACGCAGAGAAATCCTGTCTCAAAAATACAAACCAAAACCCCAAAAATCTATAATTGATTTCAGTTTGTCATGGCCTGGGGAAAAGAAGGTTCCAGAAGCTGAACCAATTGATAGCATGGTTTTATTAGAGGCATCAAAGCACATGTTTCTGTGATACAGTGGGAGTTTTTTTTAGTTCTGGGGTCTAAGATTGAACTTTGTCATGCTTTAACCCAGCTACTTGGACAGTGAACTAGAAAGGGTAGAAAAAGGAGCAAAATACAGCCAGGAAAGAAGACTACTGCTGCTGGAAAGCTCATAGAGGAAGGAAAACCTTATTCAAAGTAGTGTAACATGGCAGAGCCCCAGTGAGGAGAGTGACACAGGCAAAGGTCGCAGTCCTTACTGCTGACATTGACACCTACATCTTCCTACACAGGGACTCATCCCTAAATGGAGGTGGTGCTCGCTGCAAGCAGCAGGGACCAATGGCCAGCCTCCTTGGTTTCCTCTCTGGGTTCCTGTTCAGTCAGCCCTCCCATCCCCATCTCCACCCCTGCCAGGAAATTTAAAAAAGGACAGGTCTATGTCATAGACACAGCGACTTGTTCGATGAAGCTAGCCAGGTTTATGTCCCGTTCTGAAAGACCGGCACACTCATGGGTGCTCAAGGTGATGTGGACCTGAATGAGAGAAAACCAGAAGTTCAGTGGCAGGCAAGCACCCTCCCGGGAAGAGCAACAGAGCCACCAGCTGTGCGCTCAGCTCTACCAGGGACCGCAGGACAATCGCCAGTCCTTCTGAGGACAGGAACTGGCTACTAGTCACTCCCGAAGACAGTAGCTGGTCACTGTTTTCCTGACAGTCTAAGAAAGGGACACACCTGCTGACACACCATTTTCCTTCAATAGTTTCTCCAAATAATGATGATTTCAGTAATAGGATAAAAAGTTCCCAGACTGGAAGCCAGGGGCCAGCTTCAGTGTGAAAAGACACTCGCCAACAGGCCTGACAACCTGAGTTCAACCTCCGGGATCCACAGAGTAGAAGGAGAGAACAGACTCCCACAAGTCGCCAGCTTGCTTCCACACACACAGCATATATGTGCCCACACACTACACTAAACAAATGTTAAAACTTTTTTTTTTTGAAGACAAAAGTTAAAATCAGAACTGAAGGTGGGCGTCCAGACACATCCTTCATGTTTTTATAGACAGTCCAGCAGCGCTCTCGGCACGTTCATAAGTCAGTCTGATCTGCTGAGAGAGACAACTGAGTTCCGTCTTACTGCTCTCTCTCGTTCTTTCATCAGGAATAAAGCCGCTGGCGCTATTAACAGTGCCCTTCGTAATGTCTGACCACAATCGCTCAAGGTATTTTACTTTGCGCTTATCAGCACTGAGACGGGCTGTCTTGTGGGGAGTCTCTGTTGGCTCTAGGAAGGGGAACAGACAGAAGGGGCATCAGCTAACTGGTGAGGAAGGGCCCAGGGTCAGGTCCAAGAGCAAACCTTCAGGAAGACGAGGTTCTAGGACGGGGGCAGGCTCACCTTGTTGTACACGTTAAACCACTCAGGGTGGTGGTCCAGCTTCTCAGCCTGTAGGGCCACTCTTGTCATGAAGCCAAAAGCCTGATAGATACAGGAGGATATCCAGCTTAGCTTCTTCCAGGGCCTCTGGAGCTCTAACCTCCCCTGTGACATCCTGTCCCTCATTCTGAGGCCCGTGTTAGTGTTACTCACATCCCCAGTGTGGTGCACACAGCACAGGCGGTTGGTGCTGGCCAGAATTTTGCTGTGATTAAAGTGCCTTTGGAAGGACATGCACTTGCTACCCTTTGGAGGACTGCCTCCTCCAAGGACTTCGAGTTCCGGGAAGGCAGGGCCCAAGGCCCTTCTCTTTGCAGGCCACTTGGAAATGTATTTCCCCTTGGCTAGTAGGACACGGCATGAGCACAGAATGTGGCCCGGTTAGTACCCCCCCCCCCGCCACCCCCACCACCACATACCCGGTTGAAGTCTTTAAAATGAAACTGTTTGAAGATGGCATCTCGGCCTTCCAGTTCATTCCACCCTACCGCCCTCAGATTTGGCAGCAGCTGGTCCCGCTCCTCAGCACTTAGCCTGTGTGCCTTGCCAGCCTAGGAGAGGGAGAACAGAGGCCCCAGGCCTTCCTTTTACAGGTCAAGAACATGCCCCAGACTTTTGAGAGGAATTTAGCCAGGCTGGCTGCTGTGGATACAAGCGCCCTGCCCCAAACTACAGGTCTTTAGGTTTGCAGGGAAGTGCCCTGCTAGGAGGTGGGGTTATTGATAGACTCTTGGGTCCTGTATTTTTTGTTTTGGGTTTTTTCAGTTGGTTGGTTTTGGTGTGTGTGTGTGTGTGGGTACATGTATGTGCACGGATGTGTGTGGAGGTCAAAGGAAAATCTCAGATGCCATTTTCAGGTATCATTTGCCTTTAGTTTAATAAAAAAAATCATTAAAATTTTTGTTTTATGTGTAAAGGTGTTTTGTCGTCACATTCTGCTGCCTGAGACGAGGCCAGAAGAGGGTGTCAAATACCTCAGAACCAGAATCACAATTGTGAGCTGTCACATGAGTGCTGGGAACCGAATCCAGGTCCTTTGGAATAGAAGCCAGTGTTCTTAACCACGGAGCAACTCTCCAGCCTCCTCCCCACTTTGTTCGCCTTATTTAGACAAGGTCTCTCACCAAGTAGGCTAAACTCGCTACCATTGAGCCTCAGAGATCCATCTATCTCTGCCTCCCCGATTCTGGGATTACAAGTACAAACTACATTTAAAAAGTGCTTCCTTGGGTAAGAAGACTTGTGTGACAGGTTCCAGGCCAGCACTTGGGCCAACAGACCAGCCCTGGGAACTACAGACCAGCACTGGTGTTTGTGCTCTCAGAAACAAGGGGCTCTGCTTCACTGACAAGGGATGGCTGTAGCGAAGGCAACAGAGATCTGCACTGTGGTTAATAATAGGGAAGTCTTTCCAGAGCAGGCTGATAAGCTGAGCTCTTGTAACTAGGCAACCAGATATCAACTGGGCACCAGAACCCACTGGTTTGTTTTGTTGTTGTTGTTGTTTATTATTTTGGTTTTATGTTTTGTTTTTTTTCTTGACTCCCAAAGGAGTGGTGGGTACAGGTGAGCTGGAGGGATGCTGGGAGGTGCGGGGTGGGGAGTGGGGGATGGTACCTTCTCTTTAGAGTTTTCCAGAACCCCCTAGTCTTAGAATGACAACGCTCTGCACTCTGGGGTCAGAGGGGTAAGGGCCTTGTTTGCTTACTTAGCAAAGCTCTATCAGCCTTTGGCAGTGTGGGCCCAGGGATTACTGATTATCCAAGCCTGTGTCTTTGGTCCCTAGTGACCCTTCCCAGGCCACAGCTGCCAAAACGGCTTCCAAACCCTCCGACTGCTCCAAAGGTGCAGAGAACTGCGCTGTTTGGTAAGAGTTTCAGGGATCTAGCAGCTCCAGGGTCACCCCTTTCCAAAGGACCTAAGATCCTGACTCACAGAATCCCAGCTAGGTGCTTTGGGCGGGGCACAAGACCGGGCACAGCACTAGGGTGCCGAGAGAGCTGAGCCCCGCCAGATTCGGCACCCCAAGGGACCAGCTAGCCTTTAGGGCCAGAACCACGCCACGGAGACCCGCCTTCCTGCCACACCCCGCCGGAGCCCGCCAGCAGGCGGCCTGGAGTCGAGACAGGCCAGGCTTGGTCTCTCCAGGCCCGCCACCACCGCCACCCCCCATATCTGCACCCCAGCGCCCCCGAGGGCGGCAAGGTGACCCTAGCCCAGCACGATGGCGCACCCTCAACATCAGAGCCCTAGCCCGACTTCCCGAGATCCCTGCTCAGGGTTCACCATACGTCCTGCGCTTACCATGTCCAGCGCTGGTAGCAGGTGGCGGCAAAGAGGGAGAGGCGGCCGGCAAGCAGGAGGCCACCCGCGGGGGCGGAGCAGAGATCCGGCCGCCGCTGGGTAATAATTAACGTGGGTCCTCCTTGCTCCACGCCCTTCCAGCGTTTTCTATGCCCTGTGCTCTGTGAGCGTGGCTGTGTGATGGGCTCCAGGGCTCCGGGGCAAAGGCTTTGGTTCCTCGCTTTGTTCCCAGTCTGCTGGAGGACTCTGAGTGCCAGACTGCGTGACCTATTGGTATATTAACAACGACAACGACAAAAGCCACCCAGGTAAATGTGACACACACTGAATTGCACATACATAAAGATCACCATTGTAACCCTCCTGACAGGAGAGAAGATATCTAAAGGGAGACACTGTGTCCCTCCCCTGCGTTGTCGGGCTGTTGAAACAATGAACCCTAAAATCGAAATTTCTCTAGGAGCCTCATGTTAGGAGAAGGAAAAGGCTGGGATCTGGTGCCAGCCAGAAGAGAAAGTTATCTACTGGAAAGATGTCACACCATTCTGGCAACTTGCCAGACCACCTTGAAGGTGACCACACCTTGGCTGCAACTGCTTAGCTAGACATTCCCCTTGCTCTCTATTCAAATCTGAGCCTTATAGCAGGAGATGGACTCGGAGGATCCTGGACTTCGTTTCTTTTGTTAGTGTGTCCATATTGAATACAATCACCTTGTTCTGCATCCCCCTGTTTTAATTTTCAGAAAGATTTATTTATTTGTTTATATGTGTGTGTGTGTGTGTGTGAGAGAGAGGGAGAGAGAGAGAGAGAGAGAGAGAGAGAGAGAGAGAGAGAGAGAGAGAGAGTTTATGTGCACAGCATGCATGTTGGTGTCGTGGAGGTCAAATGGAGAAGGGATCCCCTGGAACTGGAGTTACATGCTGTCGTGAGCAGCCTGATGGGGTGCTGGGAGGCAAATTCAGATTTTATGCAAGAACTGTAAGTGCTCTGAACCCCTGTGCTGTCTCTTCAGCCCCTCTGGCTGACATGGCTCTTTAGTTGGCATATGGAGAACAGGTGGCCGAGCCTGGCTTGTTAGGGCTCCCAGGGTCAACGCTCTGACCCTAACAACTCCAGTAACAGGGTGAGATGTATACTTCTCCTAGAAAACCGTTGACCCAATCAGCTCTGAAGTTTCCTTGTGCCACCTAGTACCCTCTCTCCTTCCAGGGCTCCCCTTAAGTCAACCATTTACAATTGCTGTAGCCTGCATTTTCTAGACAGTTCCATACATACAACCATATAGTATTTACTCAGCATCTTTGCTTTGAGGCCCAGCCCTGTGCCATGTGCCAATAGTTCTTTGCCTTCATGGCTAAGGAAAATTATTGTTTCCTTAGCTGTGGAAGGGGTGGTGGGTATAGGTGAATTGTTGGGAGGGGGCTTCACTGTCTCTTTAGCATCTTCTAGAACCTCTGAAGTCAGACTGACAACCCTCTGAACTCACTGATTGGGCTGTGAATGAAAGTTCCTGAAAAGAACTGCTCCTCCCACTGAGCCTTCTACGAGGCTGATAAACTGATGTGGTGGTTCTCAGCCTTCCTAATGCTGTGACTTTTTAATACAGTTCCATCACTCACATTTGGCTCCAGAATATACTCTGTCCTTTTGGGGGTGAGGGGTGTGTGTGTGTGTGTGCAGGGCTATTACAAATAAAGTGGTTAGGAGTGGAAAGCTCCCAGTTTAAATATGTGTGTGTGTGTGTGTGTGTGCGCACAGGTACCCACAAGGGCCAGCTCCCATACAGCTGGAGTTATAGGCAGTTGTGAGCTACCCAATGTGAGTTCTGGGAATTGAGCCCAGCTTCTCTGGAAGAGCAGTAAGTGCTCTTTACTGCTGAGCCGTTTCTCTAGTCCCTTAACGCTCGATACTTCCTAAGAATATTAGGCTCGTGGTTAAGCACTGTTAAGTGCTGTTGAGAATGTTAATTCTGTGATATGTCTTTACTGCCTGCTCCCTTCAATGGATTTTCCTCTGATGGTTTTTTTTTTTTTTTCTTTACTGTCTTTAAACAAACTAAGCTATTAGGAACTAGCCGCTCCCCTTGATTGACAGCCGCAGGCCCTTCCTTTGCGCCTGGCTGCCTTGAGCCGGGGGTCTGTCAACCAAGCAGCCCTTTCCTTAGCAATTGGTTCAACTGTCAGCAGGGCAGACACTCTCGTCACTCGGAGAGAACGCCACTCCAGGTGCAAAGGCCACTGCAGTCAGGGCTGCGGCTGGAGCCAGGCCTGCTGCTGGAGGCTTTGCTGCAGTCATGACCAGTTCATGCAACAAGCACAGCCTATAACAGACAGGGAGATGCAGGCCTTGGTGAACTGTGGACAGTCTTATTCTCCCTATAGTACTGTTCTCACTCAGTGTAGGGGCAGGAGGGACCTCACCAGTGATGCAGTAAGAAGCCTGTGGTTGGTGTAATAGGAAACTTTATTCTTTTTTTTTTTTTTAAGATTTATTTATTATGTATACAGTATTCTCAGGGCTCTGCCTGCAGGCCAGAAGAGGGCACCAGATCTCAATACAGGTGGTTGTGAGCCACCATGTGGTTACTGGGAATTGAACTCAGGACCTTTGGAAGAGCAGGCGGTGCTCTTAACCACTGAGCCATCTCTAGCCCCCAATAGGAAACTTTAAAAAGCAAGCAAGCAGAAAACTACATATATTTGCATGCTTGCTTGCATGCATGTGTGCATGTGTGTGTGTTCATGTGGGTACACATGTGCCACATGGATGTTTGGAAGCCAGAAAACAACGTTCAGGAGTCAGTCAGTCCTCTTTTTCCGTCATGTGGGTGCCAGGGATTGAACTCAGGTTATCAAGATTTAGCAGCAAACACCTTTACCTGCTGAGCCGTCTCATAGGCCCAGTTCCTCCTTTCTTCACTGGATTGTCCAAGCCTTTGTTAGAAAACCAATCAACTGTGTGTGGGGGTTGATTCTGGGCGCTCATTCATCTACTACCTATGGAGACACCCATACCATTGTCCTGACCAACACAACTTTTTAGTAAGTTTAAAAGTCTCCTATCACATAAAGCATTGTTTTTTTTTATTTTTTATAATTTACTTTTTTTTTTTTAAACGTGTATAGGTTCCTGCTTGCATGTCTGTGTGTGGGTGTCAGATCTTGGAGTTACAGACAGTTGTGAGCTGCCATGTAGGTGCTGAGAATTGAATCTGGGCCCTCTGGGAGAACAGCCAGTGCTCTTAATTGCTGAGTCACGCCATCTCTCCAGCCCTTTAAATAAGACTTTGTTTTGTTTTGCTTTTTGAGACAGGGTTTCTCTGTCCTGGAACTAGCTCTGTAGACCAGGCTGGCCTCGAACTCACAGCATTGTTTTTTTATTAACCTTTCTTCCTGCATACCCCCCCTTTCCCCTTTGTAGCAATGTAGCTAATGTGCTAATATGAATTTTGCTTTTTGTATTTGCAAAATTTCTGCTGCTTCATACACACATTTTAATTTATGTACTATATTACATATATATTACAAGAATACTATATTACACATTGTTTTGTATAAAACATAAGACTTAAGTCAGAACTTTTGTCCTATCCATGATGCCTCAGTCTATAAAAAGATTCTAACTACTGCTCTGTATTCTGTGATGGAAGTCCGTCCTGGTTTCTCATCGCAGTGACAGCCACTCAGGTTGTCTCTGACTCCTTATGACGACCACACCATGATCACCCCAACATCACTTGAGCAGATGCTCCCTCAAAACCCCCAGGACAAGGCTGCATTTACAGCTCCAGCAGCTCCCAAGCCGACAAACACAACCTGTACAACCAGCACTTCCCCTCACAGGTGTGCGTCTAAGAACCTTCCAGATGTTTCCAGAACGGGGACAGCAGCAGCTGTTCTCGCTTGTGCCGTGTGAGGGGTCCTATTTGCTCACACGTCTCACCTTTGGCAGCATCAGACCTCTGCGGGGAGTGTGAGGGGCTGACAGCTACAGACGGGGAGCTGGAGGCTTTTCTCTGTGAGTTGCTCTGGTCCCTGAGGGTGGTGAGGATTTCACCGGCGTATCAGCATTCAGGGTGCACTATCTGTGAGTTGCTTTCTAATATCCTTTTTGCCCATCTTCTAGAATTTATTTATTTTTTCTCTTTTTAGTAAACTCTTTGGGAGTCCCTGTGTAGACAACACTGCTTCTCAGCTTTGTGTCTTGTGAACAACGGCCTCTGCCACTCCTCTAGATGTACGCTAACTTCAGCCATGGTTTCTTGTAGGTTATATTTGTTTACTGAGGGAGGAGGGAAGAAGGAAAGGGTGGTCAGCTGGCAGGCAACTTTCTGGAGTGGATTCTCTTCCTTTGATCTTGTGGGACCCAGGGACTGAACTCAGGTCATCAGGCTTGGAGGCAAGCACCTGTAGCCATCTTGCCAGTCCATAGGAACATGGTTCATCTTCCTGTGATCTTCCTTTAATAGTGGTTCGTGTTCATGGACATAGGACAGTGGTCCTCTTCACTTGATGTGTTTTCCTTTTAACATTTTTGTTTGTTTTTGTCGTGGTGTTGGGAACTGCAGACACTCAGACCCTGAATTTTCTGTGACCCCTTGCCTGCCGGAGTAAACAACTTGTTTTCCCATGCTTGCAGCTGCTCTGAGCACGAGACCCTCGTGAGTTCCTGATGGCAGGGGAGTGGTTTCTGGTGGGCTTGCAGCTAAAAAGTCCCGAGAGCTGGGGCGTGACCATTAGTCAAGGAGAGCCCTGGAACACAATAAAGTGGGCATTTTTGTTTCAAGGATGACCTGTGTGTGTGTGTTTCAATCTCCAGCCCCTTGCCTGACTGGTGAACCGTTGCGTGGTAGACAGGTGGTACGGTACAGGTGGACTGTACATCTTGGGAGACAAAAAAGTGTTTTACAGTGTGGGCCACCTAGTGAGCCTGTTGCCTCTCCCTCCCAAGTGCTGGGATTGCAGTAATGAACCATGAGCCATGCATTAGCACTTTCTAGAGACAAGCTCCCAAGAATCTTTCCGTGTTAGCAGAGAGACACCTATTGTTGTGATCACTGTTTTTTGTTTTTGTTTTGAGACGGGTTTCTCTGTGTAACAGCTTTGACTGTCCTGAAACTTGCTTTTTAGATCAGGTTGGCTTTGAACTCACAGAGATCCACCTGCCTCTGCCTCCCAAGTGCTGGAATTAAAGGCATGCACCACCACTGCTTGGCTGTTTTTCTGGTTTGGAGACAAGGTTTCTTGTAGTCACAGCTGGACTCAAACTCACTGTGTGACTGAGGATGACTATGACCTTTTGATGTCCCTCCTGCCTCCCAAGTACTGGGATTACAGGTGTGTGCTGATTTGCTTTTTTTTTAATTGCCATTTTGAATGCAGCAGTGACTTTCCACACAGTGTGCTTGCTGGGTGTCCATGACAAAAAATGAAATTCTGATAGGTTCTATCTGTGTACGTGTGGATGGGGCATATTATCAGGGTACTTGAAGCCATGGTTGCTCATGTTTGGCTCAGGATAAATGCTTACTGCTTCTGGAGCAAGAGCCGTGTTTCGTGTCTTTATTTTAAGGTTTGCCATGCGTTTGGGGAGGGGGCAGTGTTGGAGATTGTGCCCCGCAAGTGAGCCCTCTCCCACAGAACTACAAAAGGAATGGCTTCTCCCTGAATCTAACAAGTCCTCACCGTAAAGAAAATCTTCAATAATCGTTTTAGGATTTGAAAGGACAATCAATACAGTATGAGGAAAATTATGTGTTTCAAGTTTGTTTAAAAGCATTCTTGGGGCTGGAGAGATGGCTCAGTGGTTAAGAGCACTGGCTGCTCTTCCAGAGGACCTGAGTTCAGTTCCCAGCAACTGTAGGGTGGCTCACAACTGTCTGTAACTCATTCCCAGCACCCACATGGCAGCTCACAGCTCCAGTTCCAGAGGATCAGAAATCCTCATATCAATTATGTACATTTAAAAAAGAGTAGGGTGGGGAGCAGTCAAGGAAGACACCTAACATCATCCTCTGGCTTTCACATGTACCCACAAATACAAACTACACACACACACACACACACACACACACACACACACACACTCAATGTGTGGACAGCAGTTCAAATCTGGCGTTGTGAATCATTTGGTTCTTTCCCCTGCCCTGCAAAAACAAACACCAAATAATACAAATAAAAATAAAACCGAAAATGAGCTAAGCATGGATACACACCCCTGTAATCCCGGCACACCCCTGTAATCCCAGCCTTCTAGAGTTTGAGGCAGGAGGATATCGAGTTCAAGGTTAGCCTGAGCCACGTAGGCTTGTCTCAAAAACAAAATACTGAAGAGCTTTTGCTGGCAAGTTTGCTCGCAAGCGGTGCACACCTTGCGTGTGTGTGTGTGGGGGGGGACTTCCCAGGGCTGTTGGCTCTGCTCACCTGAGGAAAGGCTAGAGCTTCTCACAAGTGGGAACACTCCAGAAGGCACTCCTATAACCAGGACGGCTAGCAGTGACTCATGAAGATATGATAGGGATCAAGTGCTACACAGATGTGCCCTTTGACACCCAGATAAATGTCTCCCAACATCTCTACTGAAGGGCACGGAGAAGGGGGGAAGTGGAAAGAGAGAAAAACTGGTCCTCAGATATGTTACTAGAGGAGGGGCTAGGCTCAGAGCTCACTCTTCCCAGATCTTTTGGTCTTCTCCCATCCCCCTCCCCCTTCCTCTCCTCACCTCAAGTTAAAAAAAAAAAAACAAACTAAAAACAAACAAAACCAAACAGGATTGCTCCTAGAAATGGTGGAAGAGGCTTATTGCAGATATGAGGGAGAAAGCACAAACAGATGAATCTGGAAGGGTCCAGACTGAACTGGGCCATGAGGGAGGGTGGTGAAAGAGGGAGAGAGAGGAACCAGGAGTGACCCAGGAGTCTGTGAGCACCAAGAGGCCAAGAGACAAAATGGCTGGCTTTATAGGGATGAGCATCTGCGGGTACTGGTACAATCTGAGAGGCATTGGCAGCAGCAGCAGCTCTGACATGTTAAATGGGCACCTCGGCCATTTCTCCTGAGTTTGAGACCCAACATTTCGCTCCCTTCTCTCTTCTCCATACCTTTCCTGCCCCTTTTTCTCCCTTCTCCTCTATCTTACCTTCTCCCCTCCTGTTCCCACCCGCCTATTGTTTAGCATCTTTTCTCAGCTCCATTTTGTACCAAACTTTTTCTGGCTAGCTCTTTCATTTTTTGTTTGTTGGTTTTGTTTTTCAAGACAGGGTTTACTCTGTGTTCTTTCTCCCTTCCTTCCTTCCTTCCTTCCTTCCTTCCTTCCTTCCTTCCTTCCTTCCTTCCTCCCTCCCTCCCTCCCTCCCTCCCTCCCTCCTTCCTTCCTTCCTTCCTTCCTTCCTTCCTTCCTTCCTTTCTTGCTTTATGTATTTTATAGTGTTCTGTCTGCATGTATCCCTGCAGGCCAGAAGAGGGCGCCAGATCTCATTACAGATGGTTTTGAGCCACCATGTGGTTGCTAGGAATTGAACTCAGGACCTCTGGAAGAATAGCCAGTGCTCTTAACCTCTGAACCATCTCTCCAGCCCCCCTACTCTGTGTACTTTGGAGCCTGTCCTGGAGCTCGCTCTGCAGCCTTAAAATCATAGAGATCTGTCTGCCTCTGCCTCCCTTGTGCTGGGATTAAAGGCCTGCATCACCACCACCTGGCTCTGGCTAGCTCTTTTAACTGAAACGAACCTATTTTCTCTTTGTCTACCTTTTGCCTTGGGGCCTTTTCCTTTCTTCCTCTGTATATCTTACTTTCACTGCTTCTCCTCTCTATCTGGAGGCTGCCTGCCTGGCCTGGGCATGTCCCTTTCTTTCTCCTTGTTCTCTTTTTTTCTTTTCTCCTCCTGTTTATTCTCTCTGCCTGCCAGCACTCCCTATCCTTCTCCTGCCTAGCTATTGGCTGTTCAGCTTTTATTAGACCAATCAGGTGCCTTAGGCAGGCAAGGCGAAACAAATGCAATACATCTTTACATTGTTAGACATAAACAAATGTAACACATTATATTCCACAACACCTTTCTTCCTTGAACCTGACAGTCTGCCTCTTCTGTCTGGGATATCTCTCTACTCAACCCTTACAGACTTCAAGGTACAGGGAGCTAAGGTCCCTTCTCAAACAAAAGTAGACAGGTTTGAGGGTAAGTGTGAACTCCCGTGATAGAGTTAGAATCTGGTGCCGTTGCCCACAGTTCTCAGGTCCCCAGCAGGAGCCAGTGACTGCCTGCTTAGGTAGGCAGATTTCTTGAAACCCCCTCGATCACCCCGCTGTCTTTCCTGCTTATGACTTTTCTCATAGACGTGCAGGGAGGGAAGTCCCATAAACTGTTGGTTCCCCAGAGTGAACTTTGGTGGCATTGTACCTCAGTATGTTGTTGAGATCTTAGGAAGAGGGGTAGATTTTTAGCAATACCATCTCTCTGGCATTTCCTTGGGGGCATCATGTGAGATACAATAACAAAAGCCACAGACGTGAGAGCATTCCCGGTATTTATCCCTCATTCGTCCAAGCAGATAAGCAATGATCTCCAGCACTGAATGCTCCTTCCTTTCCCCCTGAGCTGGACACCTGCTGTGGTTAGTTAGTTTTTGTTGTCGTGGACTGGGTTTGGAGTCATCTAGGAGGCACACTTCTGGGCTGGTCATTGGCCATTCCAGAGGACTTTAACCTAGGGAGGGAAGACTCATCCCGAGTGCAGGTGGCACTGACCCATTGTAGCGCCCGCACTACAGGATGGTACGCAAGCAGGGAACTAGGCTGGAGATTTAAACACACACACAGATACAGGGATCATCCTTGAAACAAGAATGCCAGCTTATATAGGGACTCTTAACTGATAGCCATGCCTCAGCTCTTGGAATGTCCAGCTGTAAAACCCACCAGAATTCACTCCCTTGCCATCAGGAACTCACGAGGGTCTCGTGCTCACAGCAGCTGCAGGCACAGGAAAACAAGTCGTTTCACTCCAGCAGGCAGTAAGTCTGAGGCAGACAAAGAAAATCAAGGGGCCAGGGATCTGCAGCCCCCCACAACCCATGACCAGGGGTCCTTGACTAAGTGAAAAGGAAAGATGGAGGAAGTGAGCCAAGCACCAGCATTCTTCTCTCTCATTCCTAATTGTAGACACCGTGACCGGCCGCGGCCACCTCCTGCTCCTGCTGCCACGCTGGATCGCAACCCCTCCCACGGTGAGGAAAACAGGCCCTCCCCTACCTTAAGGTGATTTGGTTGGTATTTCGTCACACTGATGATGTGAGAAAAGTACTGACAAAGACGCAGCGACCTTTGTAACCTGCGTCCTCCAGCTACGTCCTGGCACTGGTCTCTTGCGCTTTCTGTCCCAGCCCTTTGATCTGCCAGCTCTAATGTATGTTTGCATTTCTCTAGCTTTATTGTTCGTTTTGAAATCTGGTTGGTCAAGTTCCGTCCCATTTTTCTTGTTTACCCTTCCAGATGAGCTCTCTAGTCAGCTTGTCAAGTTCTATAAAAATCCCCTTAGGAATCTGATTGGATATGCGTTGGATTTATAGATTTAATCTGGGAAGAATTGACATCTTCATATTATTGCGTCTCCCTGTCCCCAAGTATGATATATCACTCCATTTACTCAGGCCGTCTTCACGTCCTTCAGTGAGCTTTTATTGTGTCCCCGAATGAAGATGTGGACATTTCTTGTTTATTTGCTTTTTTTTTTTTGGAACAGGGATTGGCCATGGCACATGGGATGTTTTTCCATTACCGTTCTAATTGGTCTTCGGGGTGCATGGGAGCTGTGTGGATATTTTAATGTTTTCTCACCTCCAGTCCTGCTGATGAACTTGATTTGTTCTTTTGTTTGCTGGTAGGAGAGACAGACTGCGGCCTTGTGAAAGTCACAGAGCCCTGGCCCCTCCTGGATGGCAGTTAGGGCTGCTTGTAAGGGCTGCTGCTGTATCGAGCAGGGCTGTTGAACTTCTAGGCCGTGGTTCTGGGCCTGTGTCTGCACCCCTGAGCTGTGCCCCCTCTCTGTTCAGCCCTTTCTCTGGTTTCCACAACGTCTCATGCTGGGAACCAATTGCCATGATATCCTGGATACAAAGGCTTTCCACTCTTGGGACGCTGGAGAGTCGCAATCGCCTCCAATCCTCTGGGAGTGTCACCTGTAACCAGGGGCTCTTCTCTGCACCGCCTCCTTCCCAAGATGGAACACAGGGATTTGTACAGTCCCAAAGAGGGGATTGCCACTCCCCAGGAACCTGGCTGAGGTCCTTGCTGTCACTGGATTTGGTGTCACAGCCATGACTCGTGCCTCCCTCTCTCTTGTCCTCTCTCAAGCCTTCTCAGGCTCCCACACAGAGCTAGCAGCTCTGTGAACAACCTACTCTGACAGAGGGCATTGAAAGCAAGCCTCTGACCCCAGCAATAGAAGCCACACTCAGGACATGCTCTGTATCTCTCCTTGGAGTCCGTAGGCCTGATGCCTGCCTATCCACCAGTCCTGAACTGGCCACCTCTCATCTTTTTCCTAGGCCACAAGCCTGGCACTCATTCCTTCCGTTCCCAACACAAATGTCTGTTACAGGGATGTGATTAGCAGAGTTCTCATTTGTGGTGGTGGTAGCTCTTGCTTCCTCAAGGGGACAGACAGCTGGTGGTGTTTGGAGACATTTTCCATAGTCATATCTAGGGATGGAAGTGGTATAGTCTCCAGTGGGTACCAACTAGACATGCTGCTAAGCATCACCCAGTACTGGGATAGTTCCAGACACCAGCGGCCAAGGCTGGTAAACTTCTGTCTCCTACGGTGTCACTCGGTGTAAATATAATAGGGGCCACAGGTGCAGGCTTTACAGAGCTTCCAATACTCTAGTAGTTTCACTTAAAAAGAGCAAAAGAGCTGGGCGGTGGTGGTGCATGCCTTTAATCCCAGCACTCGGGCGGCAGAGGCAGGTGAATCCCTGTGAGTTCGAGGCGAGCCTGGTCTACAAGAGCTAGTTCCAGGACAGCTAGGACTGTTATTCAGGGAAATCCTGTCTCGGGGAGAAAAACAAAAAACTAAACTAAAACAGAGCAGTGGTTGCACACACCTTTGAGCCCAGCATTCAGGAAGCAGAGGCAGGCAGACATCTGTGAGTTCGAGGCCAGCCTGGTCTACACAGTAAGTTTCAGGACAGCCAGGGCTACAGAGAGAAACTCTGTCTTAAAAACAAAGCAACAACAAAACAAAACTAAAAGAGCAAAAGAAACATATGAAGTTACTTTTACTTTGCTTCCCTCAGGGAAGGGTCTCACTGGTCCTGACAGGTCTCAAACTCACGGTATAGCTGAGGATGATCCTGAACTTCTGGTCCTTGTCATCTTCCTGGGGACGAAGCCTTCCTCATCACAGGTGGTTTATAGCATGACAAGGACCAAACCCAGGGCTTTGTGTGTCCTAGGCAAGTGCTCCACCAAGTGAGCCACATTAATTAAATTAAATAAAATTAGTTTTAATATAGTGTCTGGTCCACCAGATCCCAGGTGTTATTTTATCATACAACCAGAATAAAATTAAAACACATTACTTTTTTTTTAAATGCTAGGTTTCTGGAAGACAGTGTGCATCTTAGGCCTATACCCCTTTTCATATTGGACCCTAAATTTTCATCAGCAAATTGCTTCATCTTTAGATTTCATAAAATTGGGGTCTGGTATCCAAGTGCTTTGTATCGGCATTTACGTGTATATTAAAATGAAATAAAATATCACTTGGTCACAGGTCCAACATAATTCAGTGCTTACTGGTCACAAGTGGCTGCAGCTACTAGACGGGACAACACAGGCTTGGCTGTAAGAAATAGAGATGGAGACAGAGGCAGGGGTATTTACGTAAGTTCAAGACCACCCTGGCTGGCATAGCAAGGTCTAGGTCAGCCAAGGCTACCTAGTGAGCCCAACAATAACAGCAACAAAACAGAACAAACAAAAGAAAGAAAAGGAGAACTTGGGAGCTCGTAGGGATCCTTCAGGAGGAAGCAAAGCCCACTTCCTTTCCAAGGAGCCTCCTGTCTTCTGGGGACAGAGGGGACTTTGGGCACTAGTGGTGGGAGCTAGACACGCATTTCAGTCATGTGTCCTGGCCATGCCGAGAGACAGTACGCTGTCATGACTTGGTCCCCACAGTGCTGCCAGTGATAAGTGCTGTGACAGAGGGCGTGTGGTCATGCTGGAGCAGGGAAACAGGGAGTTTCCATGAGGGCGACAGTGAAGCAGGCTGGTGTGTACCTTAGTGTTCACAGGAGACAGTCAGGCTGGGATGGGGTAGGGAGTGTTCGTGGGAGACCCGGGAGAGAAGGCAACTTGAACACCGGGACTTTGGAGGTGAGGTCCTGTAAGAGGAGTCTGTATGGGACTGGTGGGGTCAGGAGGGGTGTAAGGTGAAGGTCTCTATATTAAGGTCAATGCTGTGGGATGTGCGTGTGTGCGTGTGTGTGTGTGTGTGTGTGTGTGTGTGTGTGTGTGATGGACTGGAGAGTTCTGCTGGATAGCTAGACACCCCTGCAATGCTGCCTTCTACCAACAGGGGGCAGGGCACCCTCAAGAAATGATACAGGTTCCCTGCAACTCTGCAAAGAAGGTGAGAACTTTCAGTATTCAGAGGACATTTTCTAAGTTCCAGACTATGCTGGGACCTAGGTGAGCCACAAAGGGCCCCATCATTTGCAGGATGTAGCCCTAAGAATGTGGGGTCCACAGAGTCAGTGAAGAATCTATCTGTAGGAAGACCTGAGAAGTGTTACCGAAGGGCGGAGCCTTTCTTTTCCTTAAGTGGTAAAAACATATTTTTATTAGTAAGAACGGAACATGATTCTATGATTTTAGCACTGCTAACCATCAATTTCTTTCCCACTGCTGTTCGGTGCAACTGCGGTGTTCCTTTCTTTTCATTGTTTGAGAATCTCATCATGCATATAACATGTTTTGATCAAGTCCACCCCCACTCCTCCCCTATAATCACCCCCTTGCCCACCCGTTACTCCTTCACAAGTGTGTGTGTGTGTGTATTAACTTACTGAGTCCTCTTAGTGCTGCTAGTAGATGCCTGGATATAGGACCATGTGTGTACCAGAGTGTGCGCAGCCTCATCATTAAAGAAAAATGACTCCTCCTCCTCCTCCTCCTCCTCCTCATCATCATCATCATCATCATCATCATCATCATCACTATTGTGATTTTTCGAGACAGGGTTTCTCTGTAGCTTTGGAGCCTGCTCTGGAACTCACTCTGTAGACCAGGCTAGCCTCTAACTCATAGAGATCCACCTGCCTCTGCCTCTTGAGAGCTGGGATTAAGGGTGCAACTCCACCACCTGGCTGGAAATATTATTTTAAGGTGTGTTACTTTTGTTTATGCTGGATTTGTTTAACTCTGTGAAGCTGTGATTCTTTGCCTGTCTAAAACACATGATGGGCTAAGAAAGATCTGAACAGCCAATAGCGAGGCAGGAGAAAGGATAGGTGGGGCTGGCAGGTAGAAAGAAAATATATATAGGAGGAGAAAAGTGGGAGAAGGGGTTTGGAGTAGTATCCTGAGAAGGAAGAGGACACCAGGGGCCAGCCACCCAGCTGCTCAGCAATCCACAGAGTAAGATTTAAAGAAATAAGGGACTGGAAAAAACACATGAGGCCAAACAGTAGACAAGTAAATATAAGTTAAGAAAAGTGGGCAAGAAACAAGCCAAGCTAAGGCTGGACGTGATTCATTCGGAAGCTGAGTGGGGGGGGCCCCCCCGAAAAGAATCCAAAAAGCAGAACATCATATCACAACAAGCAGGTCGTACGCATTCCGACACAGCTGCTCTGAGTTCTAGAAGAGCCTACTCCGCAAGACGGAATCCATGCCCAGCACCGTCATTAAGGCCCAGAACCTGTGGTGAGAGGTCATAGGCCCTAGAACAGAATCTGCTACTTTTAGGTTGTTAAATGGACATAGTATTAAGCTGGCTCCTTATGACATCATTATACTCATTGATTGGGGCATTTCTCAACCCTCATTGGGGGAACTTCCTTCTGCAGTGGTAGTGAACACAAGGACCCACAACTGGTCAGTGTACAGGGAATAAGAGACTGTGGAGTGCCTAGCCCAACATGGAGCTAGCTTATCCCTGCCTGTTAAGGCTCAGGGAACATAGAAGAGGGGACAAAAGGATCCTAAGAGCCAGGGGTGGGGA